AAACGTCTCTCCATTCAGGCCCAGCTCACTGCTACCTGTGTGCACTCAGCCACAGCGATGACAGAGCAGTGCCCAGGAGCTAGAACAGCGAACTCATTTAAAACACACCAAGCAGGGCCTCTTTTTGCCATCTGGGTCCTGGACTCATGAGGAGAGAGGAGAGGAACAGGTGAACGTAAATCTTCAGCCATATTAAGAGACCGCATGGCATGATTTTTAACTTGGGAACAGAGACCCCAAATGTATTGGGGGAGGTTACTCTTACAGTCTGGTGCTGGGATGATGGGAACAGGTGGGAGGCAGTCGACTTTGGAGTCAAACCTTGGCTCCGCCTCTTACACGCTGTGTGACCCTAGGTCAGTGGTTCTCAACCTTCTGGCCCTTTAAATACAGTTCCTCATGTTGTGACCCAACCATAAAATTATTTTCGTTGCTACTTCATAACTGTAATGTTGCTACTGTTATGAATCGTAATGTAAATATCTGATATGCAGGATGGTCTTAGGCGACCCCTGTGAAAGGGTCGTTCGACCGCCAAAGGGGTCGCGACCCACAGGTTGAGAACCATTGCCCTAGGTAGTGCCTTGGCCTCTCTGGCGTTTGAAAGCCAACGCAAGGCCCAGGCACAGCACCCAGCACCTGGGGAATCCTCAGTAAGGTGGTAACTGTCAAAAATGGCTTTGGAGGAAGAAGAGAAAAAAAGGATTCTCTAGATTTAAACCGAGCAAAGCCAAAAAAACACCTCTATTTAATTGAATTTTCCTTCAAAGTTAAGTCAATCAGAAACCGCCCCCCTGTATTAGGTGAAACTGTATTTGGGTGAGAAAACAAACACTCATCTTTGTTTTGTAAAAGAAATCATTTCACCAAATCCAAACCCATCCCTCTCCTTCATGCTAGTCAGATTTCAAAACAAAACCTGAACATGCAAAGGTTTGAAAAACTTGTCTCTCAGTTAGGATTCCCTGAATGCATCAGTTTGAACAATGATATCCTAAGCACATACAGGAAACAATGGCCTTAGAAAGGCTGGAAATTCAGAAATAATGTGGCCAGCATTGATTGAGCACCAGATGCATACAGGAGAAAGAGGGGGACAACGTGGAAAGGATAGGATGTTTGATCTCACGCTGCCTTTCCTGTCCTCTGTCCCTCAGAACAGCCCAGGTGAGGCCCCTCCAGGTCTCCCTTCCTGTCCTACTCCCACCCCGGCCACATGACTCCCAGATCCCTGTGAACGCTGCACTGTTCTGTTCAATAACCTTTGGTGGCTCCCCAGTGCTGTCAGGATAGAGTCCATCCAAAACTCTCAACCTACTGGTCCTATTAATCCTGTGAGGAAACCAGAACCCTGATCAAGCCATAGCCATCTATTCCTGCTCCTACCTCCCAGCCCTGGTTCACACCATTCGTTCTTTCTAGGATTCCTTTCCCACTCCTCTTAGTTTGTCTGAATCATACCCTTTCTTCAAAGATAACCCCGGGTCCACCTTCCTCTAAGAACTCTTCCACAGTCTTGTTATGATGGTCTTTCCCTCATTAGCTGCCTGAACCC